CACAAAAGAAAAAAATAAATGATTTAACTTAACACAACATATAGTTTCATAAATACCAAATTAAAAACACACATAAATAGAAAGAAGAAATGAATGTGAGCCACAAGAGGCCACATAGAAGAAGCACATTGTTCATAGGTTTGAGAGTATATATATACCTACATACATATACCCTCAACCTCCATTATTCATGATACTAATTGATGCAGTAGTAACTTATGAAGCAGCTAATTCAAAATGCATTCAACGTCTAACTTATGAAGCAGCTAATTCAAAATGCATTCAACATCTCTTAGATTGAGGCTCTCTCTAGAAGTTGAAGTAGACTGTAGCTACTGGAAGACCAAGATTCAACTGATTCGCAAAATAACGAGTGTTGAAACTGACTCGACTTGGTGGCTCCTCCACCAATCCTATAGGTCCCTTCTGCTCAAAGAAAACCAGTATGAATCGGTGAATCCCCACGGGTGGCTTAGGTCCTATGTAAGGCAGAATCTCATGACCTGAAAGCAACAACATAAGAAAATTAACTAATATACGTTGATGCCAAAAGTGATAAGAGTTACTGTTATATTCTGGTCAACATGCACAAAATAATTGTGATGTTTCTTTTAAACAAGTGAAATCTTACTATCTGACTCACTCAGTGGTCACAGTCACGAAGTTAAGAAATTCAAGCAGCCACTTTTCTGACATGCAAACTATAGGCCACGTGTGTGATTATCACAATACAATGTGCACTTATTGTACAAAAGATGCAAATGTATTATATGAAAAAGTTTTATGATATGTTATATAGTAGTAATATTTATTCAATAAAATTAGAGACGTATATATTATATATTATTTTAATTTAATATATATATATATATATATATATATATATATATATATATATATATATATATATATATATATATATATATATATATATATATATATATATATATATATATATATATATATATATATATATATATATATATATATATATATATATATATATATATCACAAAAGAAAAAAATAATTGCTTTAACTTAACACAACATATAGTTTCATAAATACCAAATTAAAAACACACATAAATAGAAAGAAGAAATGAATGTGAGCCACAAGAGGCCACATAGAAGTAGCACATTATTCATAGGTTTGAGAGTATATATATAGCTACATACATATACCCTCAACCTCCATTATTCATGATACTAATTGATGCAGTAGTAACTTATGAAGCAGCTAATTCAAAATGCATTCAACGTCTAACTTATGAAGCAGCTAATTCAAAATGCATTCAACGTCTCTTAGATTGAGGCTCTCTCTAGGAGTTGAACTAGACTGTAGATACTGGAAGACCAAGATTCAACTGACTCGCAAAATAACGAGTGTTGAAAGTGACTCGACTTGGTGGCTCCTCCACCAATCCTATAGGTCCCTTCTGCTCAAAGAGAACCAGTATGAATCGGTGAATCCCCACGGGTGGCTTAGGTCCTATGTAAGGCAGAATCTCATGACCTGAAAGTAACAACATAAGAAAATTAACTAATATACGTTGATGCCAAAAGTGATAAGAGTTACTGTTATATTCTGGTCAACATGCACAAAATAATTGTGATGTTTCTTTTAAACAAGTTAAATCTTACTATCTGACTCACTCAGTGGTCACGGTCACGAAGATAAGAAATTCAAGCAGCCACTTTTATGACATGCAAACTATAGGCCACGTGTGTGATTATCACAATACAGTGTGCATTTATTATACAAAAGATGCAAATGTATTATATGAAAAAGATTTATGATATGTTATATAGTAGTAATATTTATTCAATAAAATTAGAGACGCATATATTATATATTATTTTAATTTAATATATATATATATATATATATATATATATATATATATATATATATATATATATATATATATATATATATATATATATATATATATATATATATATATATATATATATATATATATATATATATATATATATATATATATATATATATATATATATATATATATATATATATATATATATATATATATATATATATATAGCACAAAAGAAAAAAAATAAATGCTTTAACTTAACACAACATATAGTTTCATCAATACCAAATTAAAAACACACATAAATAGAAATAAGAAATGAATGTGAGCCACAAGAGGCCACATAGAAGAAGCACATTGTTCATAGGTAGGGCTGACAATGAACCAAACCAACTCGAAAATAGTTCGAAATTCGATTCGACAATTAGATCGTTGAACTAGGTTCATGAACCTAACGAGTTGAGTATGAGCGAAAAATTAAGTTCGTTAACTAAATGAGCTGAACTTGAACTCTACATAGTTCGACTCGTTAGGTTCATGAGTCAACTCGAATACATATGAGAATAATTATACTGTCTTTAAGATTAGGTTTAAATATTTACTCTAAATCTTAGACAAATTTAATCTTCAACTTAGTAGTTTTTGAATTAGACTCTCAAAAGTATCTCTTGAAAGTTGTCTAAGTTTTGAATTAGTAGATTTCGAAGATAAAGTTAAATTTTAATATGATAATTTTTATTTTATTTTAATATTTTATTTTATAAAAATATATTTATTTAAAATGTCAAATATACTAAAATATATATATATATATATATATATATATATATATATATATATATATATATATATATATATATATATATATATATATATATATATATATTTAAAAAAATAGTTTTTAAGCCCGTGAATCATGTGAGCTGATCCTAATGAGTTGAACCAAATTGTTCGTGAACTTATAACAAGTCGAGTTTGAGCTTAAAAAAAAGTTCGTGTTGAACTCGAACTCGAAACAATTCTTAACGAGTTGAATTTGAGCTTAAAAAAAAGTTCGTATTGAACTCGAACTCGAACTCGAAAAATTCTTAACGAGTCGAGCCGAGCTGAGGTGAGTTCGACTCGACTCGACTCATTTCCAGCCCTATTCATAGGTTTGAGAGTATATATATACCTACATACATATACCCTCAACCTCCATTATTCATGATACTAATTGATGCAGTAGTAACTTATGAAGCAACTAATTTAAAATGCATTCAACGTCTAACTTATGAAGCAGCTAATTCAAAATGCATTCAACGTCTCTTAGATTGAGGCTCTCTCTGGAAGTTGAAGTAGACTGTAGCTACTGGAAGATCAAGATTCAACTGATTCGCAAAATAACGAGTGTTGAAACTGACTCGACTTGGTGGCTCCTCCACCAATCCTATAGGTCCCTTCTGCTAAAAGAGAACCAGTATGAATCGGTGAATCCCCATGGGTGGCTTAGGTCCTATGTAAGGCAGAATCTCATGACCTGAAAGCAACAACATAAAAAAATTAACTAATATACGTTGATGCCAAAAGTGATAAGAGTTACTCTTATATTCTGGTCAACATGCACAAAATAAACTTGATGTTTCTTTTAAACAAGTGAAATCTTACTATCTGACTCACTCAGTGGTCACGGTTACGAAGTTAAGAAATTCAAGCAGCCACTTTTCTGACATGCAAACTATAGGCCACGTGTGTGATTATCACAATATAGTGTGCACTTATTCTACGAAAGATGCAAATGTATTATATGAAAATGTTTTATGATATGTTATATAGTAGTAATATTTATTCAATAAAATTAGAGACTTATATAATATATATTATTTTAATTTTATATATATATATATATATATATATATATATATATATATATATATATATATATATATATATATATATATATATATATATATATATATATATATATATATATATATATATATATATATATATATATATATATATATATATATATATATATATATCACAAAAAAAAATGCTTTAACTTAACATATAGTTTCATAAATACCAAATTAAAAATACACATAAATAGAAAGAAGAAATGTATGTGAACCACAAGAGGCCACATAGAAGAAGCACATTGTTCATAGGTTTGAGAGTATATATATACCTACATACATATACCCTCAACCTCCATTATTCATGATACTAATTGATGCAGTAGTAACTTATGAATTCAAAATGCATTCAACGTCTCTTAGATTAAGGCTCTCTCTGGAAGTTGAAGTAGATTGTAGCTACTGGAAGACCAAGATTCAACTGACTCGCAAAATAACGAGTGTTGAAACTGACTCGACTTGGTGGCTCCTCCACCAATCCTATAGGTCCCTTCTGCTCAAAGAGAATCAGTATGAATCGGTGAATCCCCACGGGTGGCTTAGGTCCTATGTAAGGCAGAATCTCATGACCTGAAAGCAACAACATAAGAAAAATAACTAATATATGTTGATGCCAAAAGTGATAAGAGTTACTGTTATATTCTGGTCAACATGCACAAAATAAACGTGATGTTTCTTTTAAACAAGCGAAATCTTACTATCTGACTCACTCAGTGGTCACGGTCACGAAGTTTAGAAATTCAAGCAGCAACTTTTCTGACATGCAAACTATAGACCACGTGTGTGATTATCACAATACAGTGTGCACTTATTATACAAAAGATGCAAATGTATTATATGAAAAAGTTTTATGATATGTTATATAGTAGTAATATTTATTCAGTAAAATTAGAAACGTATATATTATATATTATTTTAATTATATATATATATATATATATATATATATATATATATATATATATATAATATATATATATATCACAAAAGAAAAAAATAAATGCTTTAACTTAATACAGCATATAGTTTCATAAATACCAAATTAAAAACACACATAAATAGAAAGAAGAAATGAATGTGAGCCACAAGAGGCCACATAGAAGAAACACATTGTTCATAGGTTTGAGAGTATATATATACCTACGTACATATACCCTCAATCTCCATTATTCATGATACTAATTGATGCAGTAGTAACTTATGAAACAGCTAATTCAAAATGCATTCAACGTCTAACTTATGAAGCAGCTAATTCAAAATGCATTCAACGTCTCTTAGATTGAGGCTCTCTCTGGGAGTTGAAGTAGACTGTAGCTACTGGAAGACCAAGATTCAACTGACTCGCAAAATAACGAGTGTTGAAACTGACTCGACTTGGTGGCTCTTCCACCAATCCTATAGGTCCCTTCTGCTCAAAGAGAACCAGTATGAATCGGTGAATCCCCACGGGTGGCTTAGGTCCTATGTAAGGCAGAATCTCATGACCTGAAAACATCAACATAAAAAAATTAACTAATATACATTGATGCCAAAAGTGATTAGAGTTACTGTTATATTTTGGTCAACATGCACAAAATAAACGTGATGTTTCTTTTAAACAAGTGAAATCTTACTATCTGACTCACTCAGTGGTCACAGTCACAAAGTTAAGAAATTCAATCAGCCACTGTTCTGACATGCAAACTATAGGCCACATGTGTGATTATCACAATACAGTGTGCATTTATTATACAAAAGATGTAAATGTATTATATGAAAAAGTTTTATGATATGTTATATAATAGTAATATTTATTCAATAAAATTAGAGACGTATATATTATATATTATTTTAATTATATATATATATATATTAGAGAAATTAGTATTTATATTTTATTTACAAAAATTATTAATTAATATTAGTATTTATCTTTTATTTACACAAATTATTAATTAATATTTATCTTAATTATTTGAAAAATTAGAAAATGATATGTTATGTGATTGACAGATGTCGTTAGCCGCCACCTGCAAAACAGGTGGAGGAAAGAAGACATTGGATCCTGATTCAACGATAAAGAAAACAAGTGTGGAAGAATGGTTTGTTAGGTTTGAAACAAACCGAACCAAGAGATGATGCAATGTGAGTCTGAAATTCTGTGATATTTTTTAAAAAGAAACATGAAACATGGGAAAAGCCAAACAACATTCATGCATGTTGATTTTCTTTGGCGAGAAACTTAAGAAAAACACATCAACCTTTTTTTTTCTTTTTAAATGTTGCTAGCACACAGTATAGTATGCATGCAACATCATATAATAAATGAAACATCAAACAATGAATATTTCATGGAAAATATCAAAAATAAATTTTTATAAACCAGATCCCAGATGGTTTTTTATACCCCGTTTTGGATTTGTTCCTCCGGGAATGTCAACCACAATCCTGAAAAATTAAAACATAAAAATATGTAAATTATTTCAAGAAAAAATTATAAAAAAATGTAGATTGAGTTGAAAAAGAGAGAAACAAATGGGAAGAGTTAACTGACCAGTGTATGAACTCGCGCAAGCTTGGTTCACTGGGGCTTGGTGCATCAGGATCAGTCATAACCTGCATGCAAATGAAAAGTTGTAAAAGAAAAATGATGAGATGCATGCAAGATTAAAGAGAAAGGGATGACAAACCAGAGTGTAGAGGCTGTTCCTATTTCCAGTAAGAGTGATTCTGGGTTGGTTGATAGCTATGGATGGCTTAATGTCGCATCCATTGGTGACATGTTTAGGACCAAAGTAAACAGACATGGCAACAGATGGTATGAACATGTCAACAACATCACCTATCACACGACCAACCACCAAAGGATCAGCGGAAGACATCATGGTGATGACAGTAAACAAAAAAGAGAGAAGCTTTTGGTTGGTGTGTGGTTTTGAGTTGGGTGGAACATCGTTTATATACTAGTTGCGAAACTACTTGTTACTGATACCTAGTAAATTTTTAGAGTAAACTTTCTTTGCTAGGTAGTAATTTTTAAGTATTAGCTTCATAGATAAGTTTACAAATTTCCAAGTGATATTCATAATTTAAATTTTAATTATATTTATAATTATATGTATTTTTTTATTGAGTATTTCATTGAGTTATTTTTTTTTAATGATAACTTTATAAAATGGTCAATGAACTTTTTAAAAGGTATTAATGAATCCTTATCATTTTTAATAAAAATAATTTTTTATTAAAAAATAATTTTTATATAATAAAATATGAACAGCAGAAATACTAATTTATTAAAAATAATATAATTTGCCTTTAAGCCAAGTTCATATAAAATGCTTATGCTAAAGAAACCAAATTCCAATGCGTACACACAAATTGAACAATTTTGGTATATTTATTTTCTTGTTTAATAAATTAATTTTAATTTCAAAAATTAATAATATAATTATTCACTAAAACATTTGTTTTATAATTGAAATTAATATAATTAATAATTATTATTATTATTATTTTAAGTATCTAAATTTTGATATCTATTGTAAAATACAGAGAGTATTATTTTCACATTTTTAGTGGTATTAATTATTACAATTTTTAAAATATTGAATTGAATAAAAAAGTCTTTATCAAATTCTCCATAAGTGAATCATTTAGAATAATAAAATATTTTAAAATAAATGATTTATTTTAATTTTTTATGCAAATTAATTTTGTCTTCTAATTGTACTTTTAATTATTATTATTTTTATTATTCTTAATATTAAATTTGATTTATTTATAAAAAAAATATTTTTTAAATTTATTTATTAATTAATATATTTGATCTATGTTTTGTCCATATACAATATTTATTTAATAAATTTAATTTTTTTTATTTATAAATAGAACTAGAGAGCATTTGATAAAGAGTATTTTTAATAAATTTATTTATATTTTCTAATACTTGTGAAATAATCAATTGATATATGATAGAGGAGTATTTTTATTGGTTGAAATTTAGGCCAAATTTATATATATTCGTTATGATTTGAGATTTGATGTGATCCAAAATGTAATAGACCTTCGTTGTCAATACTATTTTTTACTATTTATTTGAAAAAAATTATCTTTATATTTAAATTTATTAAATAGTTTATTTATCACAACTGTAATATAAACCAGATATGTTTATTATTAAGCAAATTTAATAAATTCAACTTTTTTTTAATAAAAAGAAGCAGCGAAAATATTAAATACACTCTCAATCTCCAATTATGAATGTTTATTGGAAGAAAAAAGAGTGTCCATGAATATAAATATCTTTCAAGTTAATTAATGCATTTTTTTTAAACATCACTTTAGTTAATACTAGTACTACTATTTTTTTTTTGGTAATTGTACTACTATTTTACTTTTGTACAAGAATAACTAATGTCTTAAATATATGACTTACTCCATATTTTAGATATTTATGAAATTAAGTTCATTTATTTGAAATTTAAATAGTTTTGCATTTTTTGGTATTTTTATATTTAAAATTAATATTTTATACATTTTTTAATAACATATTACTTGTGAAATAAGACATGATGTCAAATATAAAAAAAAATTCTTAACCTACATGGCAATATAGAAATATCATATTACTGGAAAAAGTCACATATTTAAATTGTAAAAATATGAAGAACAAAAATCAAAACTGCGATGAATTAAAAAAAAAAAACATTATGCTATAACACACAAAATAGTTTAGTGCCCTCTAAGTTCTTTTTTTCCTTCTAATTTTTACACATACCAAAATAATAAATTCAGTAATCAATTTTTACTTTTGATATTAATGTTTTTGTTTTTCTTTTACATACAACAATTATAATTATAGTTACTTATTTTTTATTTTTTTTTAAATTTGAATTTAAAATTTCGAGAGGAGTACATTCTCCCAAACCTCCACCACTATTACTTACTATTTCATCTCATCTACTTTTTTTTATAAATAAATAATAAAATTTATTAATAATTAATATTATCATGAATTTTAAAAACATCAAATAAATATTAAAAAACGATAGTATAATATTAATTTAAAAGTATAGATACAAAATTTAAATTTTAAATTTAAATTAAAAATGAAAGTTTTGTGTAAGATTGGTAGAGCTAGTTAAAGTACACCTAAAAAGACGGAATGGCACACTTCTGTTTGAAATGAAACAGTAAGTTGTCTTCCATGCATAGGGAATCAGAGAATCCGCCGCAGAGAATGAGTGACACGTGTTTTTTCTTTTGTACTTTTGCGACACGAGGATTCAATCTATGCCGTTGATTGAAATTTGTAGCAAGAATCCAAAGGACAGCAATAAATGATGAAACCATTTGTTGATGCAATGCACCTCTGGATATGTACCGCGTCAGACCCGTTTGTGGAGCCCACAAGGAAAATCAGTGGAACATGACCAGGCTACAACCATTTTATAAAAACTCATTATTAAATATTTTAATTTATATATATTTGCTTTTTTTTTTTGGTATAGTATTAAACTCTTTATTTATTTTTTTAAATATTAAAATCAAAATAAATATTAACGATCAAAACAAGTCACTCAAACACAAGATTTATCGAAGATGATAAAAAAAATTTAAAATTATAACTCAAAACTCAGAAAAAGAAACAGCAAAAATAGATTACACAACAGTTGATACAAGATTTATCGAAGATGATAAAACAAATTTAAAATTATAACTCAAAATTCAGAAAAAGAAACAGCAAAAATAGATTACACAACACTTGATAAGTAAGTTATAAGTTATAGGGTTTAACCCTATGAATTGATAATCATAATTAAATGTAAATATATTTCGACTTTAACCACCAAAATGATTGAAGTTTTACCTTCTCAGATAACGTCTGCAAATGCTCCGCTTTATTTTTAAAAATACATCTATTTCGCTCTTTTCAAATAACCAAAATCACATAGAGACAAGTAGTGCTAAGAGTCAACCGATCATTTTTCAAAAAACCACCTAACCCACCAAATTGTAAGATATGGTCTTGTAAATTTCTTTGAAACGTTGAGAATCCTAACCAATTTGAAATAATAGGCTACAATCTATTGAAATAAATTACATTCTACAGACAAATGATCTTTGTCTTTATCCCCGCCACAATTCGCCACACATCTTTGATCACTCATAGTAAGAATCTGCCATCTATCCAAATTATTCTTTGTTGGAATATGATTCAGTAGCAATCGACATACAAAACCTTTAAAGGCGCAGTTTTCAACCACAAAATTTGGGAATTTGCATTGATTGTTGTTGACGTCAAATTCAAACAAATTTTTATAAGCATTGTTGATCATGTAGCAAGAATAGGGATGTAAATTTCATACCCACTGATCTTCTATGTCCACCTGCAAAATAACTGAGGTTAACCACTTAATACACTATCTCACTAACTTTTACTCTCGTGAAAAAAACCTCTTATGTCACCTATACACCTCACTATTCTCCCCCACTCTTAACTCATTCATTTATGTTATAGTCTCCATCTTATTCTCCACTGAATCAAACAACCTACAAAATATCTTTCAAAGAAGTATCGTAAAGCTAAAGATCTTTCCAATATAGAGTAGAAGACACATCTATTATCAATGTTATCAAGCAACCACCCTCCAACATCAAACTAACACCCTCCTTTTTTTCTTCTGGATTCCTCCATCAAACAAAACAACCACTTTTCCCAAAACATAACCGCTCTTCCTTCCTCACGATACCGAGTATACAATACCTTATACCAAAGATTTTCCGTCTCATTTAAAATCCTCCAACACCATTTATCAAATAAGAATTAGTTAAACTCATTCAACCTTATAACTCCCAAACCTCCATTTATTATTGGTTGATTTGTAAGTGAGAAGCAATTAAATTTAGAAGTAAACAAATTTAGATATTACATTCAAATAAGGTTTTTTTTATTGATATAATAAATAATTTAATTAATAAGTATGAAGAAAGAGTATTTCTTTAATAAGTTTGTTAACATATTAAAAATATTTTAAAGGAAAGTATTTTATAAAATTATACGTATATTGAAATAATGAAAAATAAACTATAAACAAAAATATTAGTTTAAATTTAAAAAATTATATTTATGAAGAGACCAATTATCAATAATTCATATTTATAATTTAAAAAACTATTAACACTTGGCAGTCATGCATGATAGAAAATGATAAAAACGTAAATAAATAAATAAAAAATTTAATTGAAATACACTGACAGTGTAAAAAAATTTTACACCGTCAGTTAATCATAAATGTTGGATATTTAAAAGAGTTTGACTTTTATTTCAACTATCTATAAAGTAATGTAAATGAATGATGGTGATGAATTGACAGTGTAAAACTTTTTATATTAACGTTGCATAATAATTAATCTCATAAAAAAAAATACAATGAAACTCTAATAAAAAATATTATTAGAGTGAATGAATATAGGAGTTGACGCTTATGTCCTTAAATAGTCCAACTGATATGAAGTTAGTTGAAAATAATGGTCTAAAATCTCCATTAAATTGTAACTAATTTATGATTAAGTATTATTTCTCTAGCATATTTTATTGTTTTCTAACAAAATTATATTTATGAAGGAAATAATTGGAATATAAAGAGAAATGAAATACAAATATTTATATTTTGATACTCACTCTTTTACTAGAATAAATATTAATTAATCTTAATTGAGTAATAAGATTCTTGAAAGTTTTCAGGTGCAAGGACTTAGTGAAAATATCATTGATTTGGTTTAGAGAGTTGATCAACATTAGGTGAATGATACCTTGTCACATTTTGTCAGACACTAAATGGTAGTTCATTTCTATGTGTTTGCATGGTGTGCTTATGGAAGA